AATAATAGATTGCTTTGAGGTATGTTTAACCATTGTGTGACTTCAGTATGTTTCAAACCATATTATCATTTATTGGGTTTAAAACTTTTTACCTCCTTACGCAATAAAATTATCAGATTTGAGAGTTTTGTTTGTATGCACTTCAATAATATTTCTACATTTATGGGTAAAGAGTAGGAATTTAGAATTAAATAGACTGGAGCCGAAACACTTTAAAAAGATCTAGATCCCATGTTTTTTTAAATATTAAAACAACAACAGCCCTCTTCTAAAGCAATAAAAAAGTTCTTTTTTGATGTGTATATTGTTCGTCAATTAAATGACGCCGGAAGGATAGAAAACGTCTTAGAACATTCCAAAATATTTTACTTACTGTCGACGGAGAAAACCAAAAAACAGAGTAGCCATCGAAAAGCAGAAAAAGTTTATCAACGGGCACCTTTGCAAAGCTGAACTTTATTTTTATTATTATTATTTTTTTCCATGAGTGAAGTACATGAAAAAGAGGCGATGGTAGCGAACCATCAAGAAATCGTGTAAATTCTTTAGAGGGAAAAAAAAGCAACACCCATTTTCGATTTCGAATCTAGGTTAATCTTCGTACAACTCAGATAAAGTTAAAATATAAAATAATCCAAGAGGTTCATGACATTTTTTTGATCGAAATAGGTTTCCAAGTTTTCAATTAGTAGTACAAGAAACTTTTAATCTGTTGTAAGAGATTTTTTTTATGAAACACGTTTTTTCAAAAAATGATGTGAACATAATTCGTAAAAATCACATAGCAGAGCAGCCGTAAATGGGGGTAAGGGCTCAAAACCTTTCGTCGGTAATACTATAAACATTTTATTTTTAATTATTATAAAAATTTTCTTTCTTTCTTCTTTTAAAATAGGCATATAGTGTGATTAAAAATGTGGGAACAATAACGTTAACAACAGCTTGAACTCTATTAATATGTATGTTATATTCACTGCTTATGCTATACTATTAAGATAAGATTATAACACTGTAATATATGTATAATACTCGTACATAATCTAAATTCCATTGAAATTTAGAACATCAGATCATTCTAAACGATAAATTTGGGAGAAAAACTATCGGCGTTGCGTACGTTTCATGTTTTGGACATTTTTGGACTTTTTTAATAATATTTTTTATTGAAATTTAGGACTTCAAATTATCTTAAATAATAAATTTATAGGAAAACTATCGGCATTGCGTGCGATTCATTTTTTGGATAAGCTTGCATGTTACGCGAAGGAAAACTGCTTTTGTTTCATAACTATTTCATAAAAACTTAATAGGCAATACACAAAAGGTAATACTTAAATACTTTAAAAATTATTTTAAGAATGAATTCATAAGTTTATAGTACTTATATCGATTCTATTTTCTGTTAAAATAATAGCGTGGTTTCGCAAGTTACTATTTTAGACATGCATGTCAAAAAACTTAATTGTTTTTTTGTTTTTGTTTTTTTTGCGCTCAGCAAAATGTAACTTATTTAACAAAATATAATGTAATTGCCATTTAAGGATATCATCAAGTGAATGTCCTGTTTAAGCTCTAAACTTTTATTTATATTTATAAACCTTTACACAATTAAAAAAAATGACATAATCATTCAACTAATATGATGAAAACACACAATTAACTTCTTTGGACAAAAAAATATTTCTTTTAAGGTATTTATAGAAAGCTTTTGCAATAACTTATGTTAGTTCATGTCACAGAATTTTAAATTTAATCTCAAATTTTGACCACGAATTAAATTTAAACTTAATTGCTCGCTTAACTTAATTGAGCTTAAATTTTGAATCTGTGTCATGTTCTCCCCTTTGAAGGGCTGACAAAAAATAAAATTACGGTATAAATTTTATAAGAAAAAAAGATAAGTTCGTTTTTAGAAATGAAGGATATTTATTTAAATATCGACGAAAATCTATATACGTAAATCATTTATTTCTCTAGGGCCTGCGTCCCGCAGTACACTGACGCCAAAGACGCAGTTCCCAGTAAAACACTAAAGTCAAGCTTGACTGGCTGTGGTCAGTAATCTGGTAGGTTACCACTTTGATCAGCCTACGTAGGGATCGAGGGTGTGCGGTATCGGTCCTCGTTAAACTGTTCTACCGTAAAGTGCTAGATTTCAAGCATAAGTTTTCAGGCTACAAAGGTGGAAATCAGTAACGAGCAGAGGATCAAAATTGTGATAGCTTGTCTTCGGATCATCCTCAGGGATGTTTCCTTAACAGCCACCAATAGCCCATTAAGCAACTCTAGTGCGACGTAAATAAAGTATACCTACCTCTTGGGGTCACACAAAATAAGAAAGTTTAAATTAATCCCGCTAAATGTTTTTCCCGAAGCAGTGTGTAAAGACTAGCAACTTTTCTGGTCATTTTTGTGTTCCTGAAACTTAATTAGTATGGATCCATATTTTAAAATAGGATTCAATAATTTCAAAAGTACTACGTTATAAGGTTAAAAATATATTTATTGTTTTCTCAATAAATGGTCTCACGTATTTAAAGATATTCTTTTTTATCATAGACAGAATGAAACATAAAAAATATTTAAAATAGTATCCTAAATATTTGAAAAAGTTTAAAAATACTCAGCTGGCTAAATTTTTAGGAAGATTGTCATTTTAAGAAAAAAAATATGCGTGCTACTTTAACATTTTTCGACATATTAAAAAATATGAAAAAAAAGATGAGAAAATGTTATTTATTCGCTGAATATGGGATTTTTGAGCAGTTAAAATTATACATGAAAAATTACAATACAATAAATAAAAGAGATGAACTAATGTTTGTTAATGTTGTTTGTTAACATCCATTATGCAGCTCGAGTTGGACGCAAATAAAAAACTCTTACTTAGAAAATGACTCGGGGTGGTACAAATTTTTAAAAATTCAGTAAACAAATTCTGTTTTTACAGTTTTTGACAGGATGCTAAAAAGGCAATAATTGTTTTTTTTTCATTTTTAATATATTTTCGCATATTACTGTTAAAACTCTGTCTTGAAACGCTGGTAGTCAGCACGCTGAGGGTTAGTCCACTACGGCGCAGATCTCCCGCAAATACTTAATAGGATGGACAATTTTCTTGCTACTAAAACCACAATATATATGTCTGGATTTTTCATTCTGAAGTTTTGTTTCTTGATTCTATATTAAATTTGATTTCATACGCAACAGTAGGCAGGTATTTTATTTACGTCACACTCAAGTTGCGTAATGGGCTGTTAGCGACGGTCTGGGAGCATCCCCGAGGATGATCCAAAGACATGCCATGACAATTTTGATCCACCTCAGAGAGGATGGCTCCCCTGCTTTGGTAGCTGGACGACCTGTGCGCGAAGTGTAGCACTTTACGGTAGAACAGTTTCACCAGGACCGATACCGTTCACCCTCGGTCCCTACGCAGGCTATTCATAGTGGTTAACCCTCCGTTTACGGACAGCAGTCAGTGATGCTCAAATTCGGTGTTCTACTAGGAACCGTGTCTTTACAATCTATCCAATACAGGTCACGTAACAGTATCAAAAACACTATTTTATGCAGGACATGACTGTATAAATAACGCTTCGTTATGTCAAGGGTTACTTTATAATCATACTCACCCTATCATTAAATTTCATTCAAGTGAATTGAAGCTATGCTAGAAGCTGAACATTTCCTTTAACTGTTTCGTAAAAATTTGGCCGTATTAGAATAAAACTCTTACAGAATTGTAGAGTCAGGGATAAGTTCCCGAAAGGATTCTTAAAATTGCGTACTTGCTCTTAGAGATCAGATACCCACACCTGTGACTGATGACGTAAGCTCCAGCTGATCGTTTCTAAGCAAAATGGTGTGTTTGAGTTGAGCTAAACTTCTCTAAATAAGTTAGAATGTTAATTAACGTGAAGTTAGTAAAATACAGCACCGTCTCACAAATCGAGTTTGTCGAAATATAATTCTTTCTCGTCTACATATTTTACTTAACTTAGATTTATTTTTTATGTATTTTATTGTAACCGTGATATATTTTTGTTTTGTGGCAACTTCGATGCATAATTAGTTTGATTATGTTCTACATGGTTTCGTGCCTGTCTTTGTTAACACTAAACATACCATTACAGGTCACATGACCGTTTAAGAACTTTTGCATCAGAAATGCGCTCATCTTATCGTTTTTGCACATTTGACTTCATGACTTTTTCTAACAATTATATACAGTTAATATTCTATTATTTTTATTTTTATTCCTTTCTGTTAGTTTTTACCCAGAAAAATTTCGAAACAATCGAGACAACATAAGCTCTTAGAAGAAATGATATTAATTATAAGAATTATAATTCTTATTATAATTATAGAAATAATAATTTGTAGAAATAAGTTTGCGGAAAATGTACAATGGAAACGCCCTATATATATGTATGTAAAAAATGCGCTGAGCAATGTATTAAAAATTTTTAGTGCTTGCAATACATAAAAATTGGCAATATACAATTTTTTCTAATTACAATAAAGTTTTTTTAGTTTATTTCTTTCCTTACAGCAATATTTCCTATTCAATGAAGAAATATTAAGTCCGGTTATTTGACCGGCTATGGTAAAAATGGGTATATATTAAGTGTTGGTATGTTTAGCGTTGAGTATGTTTAGTTCCAGTTGGGAAATCATTTAAATCTTTGTGAAAAATCTTTGTGTTAGAATAGGTCACATAAGAGAATTTATACTTAATGGGCTTACTCGAAATAGAAGGGAAAGAACAGTTGCTAACGTAAACAACTGTCACGTTTCGACAACCCATGCAGGTATCCCATTGAGAAAGCTGAAATGTCGAAAAAATAAAACTGAAGACAAATGAGATAATTTTATGAAAAATACAAATTATGCCGATCATTCGGTGATAATTATAAGTATTCCACTTCCAAATGTTCTACGCGTTTTGAAAGGTAGTCTCGTAAGTGCTTTATAAGAATGAATAAGACATTACCAAGTCAGACTAAAAAAAATTTATTTTACAAAATTTTTGATCACAAAGGATTAAAAGATAGCAAATCAAATAAAATCAGATTAAAATTTACTAGTGTTTAAAAATCTGAATATAGTACGTAAGTTTTTCTCCGTAGTTGACTGTATAGAAAATTGCCAACAGATAAGGAAGTGCCAGGTAACAAACTAGTTCAACTCGAAAACCAAACGAATACGAGTGTTGCATGGAATCTCCCATCTTTACGTACAAAAACACAAATGACGCTAAACCATACAAAGCGAGGAAAAACATTGCAAGCATCGTGAGTCCATGCAAAGTGACAAGATGTTTAATGTAAGCAGAAATTATAGAACAAGCTAAGAAGTAGATGCCGTAGTAATTATAGAACTGTTCTTTAGGAAGGTGTTCCTCACCGCGAATAAAGGTGTACAGCAAGAAAAACTCGTCCAGGCAAAAAGCCAGTGGTTGCGAAAAGCAAATAAAAAAGGGAGTAGCAATCCATCTATACAGTTCGTGAAACACCATAGGAAGTGGCAACAATACGCACATGGCAAAATAAGCCCATAGTTGATATGAATTTCCCTCAACAGGCGCTTCCAGGACAAGTGCAACCACAGTTAAAGCCGCATAATAGTTGCTTACGGTCTTGCTAATGACACAATTGATGTATATACCTTTGTAGATATTTATTAGGATAAACAGAATCATGCTCATTTCAATTGGAACAGCAAACATTGGTTTCATGTCCAGTAACATACTGCGAAGATGGAGAAGTTGATCTTTAAGAAGAGTTGCAGCCCTGAAAAGTCGAGAAGAATGAATTAGCATCACAAAGGTATTGTTTTGGAATTTTTTTTTTTTCATTGTCGATGAAAGGCGTAGTAATATTCAAAAGAGATGAATTAAAGGGTGAATATTCCTATAGATAACGAACCGCCTCGACTTTAAACAACTACGTTAATCCTCGTATTTTTCACCAGTCTTGTTCAAAGGAAATATATAATATTTTTAATAACATATTGAACGAATTATGAAAAGCATTTATAAATTATTGCATTAGTATTTCCTATCGCGCTTTTCAAATTGAAATAACTATTCCTTAATAAAGACATATTTCTGTTAAACATTTTCAACGTCTATAACAGTTCTGTTAATATTCTTCTGGAAGTAAACCATAATTCGACTTATTCATTTTCAGACTATTTATGAATAAAAAAACAAAAAACAAATTCATAACTAGACTTAGATATAGCACAAAAACCGCAAATTTAAATGTCGTATATGAAACATTATTATTGGGTATAAGACGAAGAAAAGTAATCATTTCGCTCAAGAAATATTTTTAAAATAGTCTAAAAGTTTATATCGTTCAAAATTACCCTAATAAACTTTATAAAATTGGGGTCTGCTAAAAAACGGTCGATTATTTAGGGTTCCGTAGTCGAAAAAAATTAGGAACCGATGATGTAAGCAAAAGAAAGACATAACCAATTCCAGACTTACCGTATTAAAGAGTAAGGAGAGATTAAAAACATCAAAACTTGTGCACCAGGCAATCAAACTGATAGGAAGATTTTTAATCAAATCTCTTTTAATGTGAGTTCTCAAAATTTCGATGTCGTTCTTTTCCTTTAAAAGGTTAGTTCGCAGTCCTTATATGTAAATTTTTTTTTGCTATACGAGATCTGATGCGCTATAGAGAAATTCAAAATTTAGATTTTTATATATTTGGTATTTCTGCACGATATTCTCTGCATAGTGAGATATATTTTTTAAAAATAACTTTTTTATCAGCTTCTTGAATTGTTTTAGCATTAGCAATAAAGAAAACAGTTGTCATGCCATTTTTCACCAAATCTACATTTATATTTGTTTTCAAATTGCATGCCAGAATAATGAATAAAGCCAAACTTTGAACTTTAATATGTCATTTTATGAAAGTGCATTATTCAAGCAGGGACAAAAAAAGAAAGTGCTTTAAAATAAGTTTTTAAAATAAGGAGATATTATGCCTAATATTAAATTAAAATATAGCGTCAATATATTTAACACATTTAACCCAAAAGTTAACCATTATAAGTGGCTAACGTAAGAGATAAATGTATTTCACTTATGTTTATACTCAATACATTTATATATTGAATGTATTAAGTTAACCAATTATAAGTGGTTAACTTAGGAATGAACAGCTTGTAAAGGATAGAAATTAATTAATTCAGTGCTTGAGTACAGAGGTGAGCTTGAATAGAATTCAAAGTAGATGGCTTCTTAATTCATAAAATGTTTTTTAATGACTACCCTTAATGTACATTATTTTTGTCAAAAATGCATGGATATTAATTTGAGAAATGAAATATTTCAAAAAAGAAATTGCCAACGAAATCTTTCTAATCACTAGCCAGAAAAGTGGGATACAAACATACCCAGTTTTTATTACCGGATAAAACAGTTTAATATAATTATGTAATGTCTTAAATTTCTATCACTAAAAATCCCCCTCACGTCTTTCGAAAGTGATGCTTCGTAATAATTTCCTTCATGTCTAACACAATAGATTTTTTTCTTTGAGGTCACCTATAAAACTTTGTTCCTTACATTTCTGAAAGATGGGGTATACTTTGGACTACATATAAATAGCCTAATATTAAATTATTTTGCCTAATATTAAATTATAAAAATGCCATAATTAAATAAAGCCATTATACTAATATTTGTGCTTTATATAAGTTTAGCTTCATTCTAAAGTTGTTTAGTTTTTATTACTATAATTACTGTGATTATTACTACTATTAGTCTACAGAAATTTGTCAAAAATTCATTGTTTAAATAGCAAAAATCTGCTTGCACCATTTAGGAAAATGTACGGCAATAGCAGGGCTCTACTCAAAATATGAGTGATCTAGAATAAAGTACTTAAAATTTCGATAAATCACGATTTTTTTCACGCTATGGCAATAAATACAGTCTAATCGTCAGAAAGCAGTCGATACTAGTCATACAGAACTCCAGTTAAATTCTAATCACTTTTCATTAAAATTTTTATTGTCTATTTAGCCGTAATCAGATAACAAACTCTTGCAGCAGTCAGGAATCGTTTGAAACTTGCATTATTGTCTAATACAGAGTACAACCATAATTTGAGTTCTTTAGCTAGTCTGAAAGTGATTGCAGATAAATTCTACTTAGCGACAATAAGAGAAATTTAGAGATCAAAAAACGAAAGAAACTTGTGATGTCATCCAGTAAAGAACACCAATTAAAATTCAAATTATTTAATAGTAAGATTATCAGAATTTTGACAATACACCAGTTTTAATAATATCACGATAAATTCGGTTTTTAGTGAACAGAAAGTTAAATTGAAGTTAAATTGTCTGCCAACGAAAAGCTTCAATAAAAATTTTGCCTGGCCTAACTAGTTTGAAAATAAAAATGCCGCCTAAGAGTTTTTAATTAACAGCTCTGCCACTCTGTCGTTTGCAAAGTTTCAAAAGCTCAATTCATCCGTAAATTAAAAATATTTACCTCCATTTATTAACTTAACTACACCGTATATTTAGAAGTTAACCAAACCGCATATTTTTTCCCCCGCAGAATTTCTTCTTAATGATTTGTCTTGAATTCCAGAACATAGTTTTACAGCGTTTAGAAAAAATGCAAAACTCTTATATCTCTATAATTCAGGCTATAGTCTTATCAAAATAAATTACACAGTTTAGTTGCATTTAAAAGCTTTACCATTGTTTCATTTCTTGAAAAAAAAAAACCTTTCGGGAAATATTTTAGAAATTAAACCTTACAGAAACCAATCATGAACTGGGAAAATTTGCATTGTAAAATTCTATTTCAAAACTGATTATAATGCTTGAATCAATTGAATATCTAAGCAGAAATGTAATAATATTAATTTTTCAAAAATATTAAATAATAAATGATTTAGTTTTTATTCCTAATTTAATCATACTGACTATTCCTTATGAATATTTTTTTTTTGGAAAAAAGTTATAAAAACATACTCTTCATGAGCAATCTCTGCATAGACCCCTCCTATTTCAGCAAAATCCATGATTGAATGTTAGTAAGTCAATAATCCACAACACGCCTCACAATCTGCGGATGCACTGAAAAAAAATTTTTTCCCCTGAAAATATGCTAACATGCGAATGATTAGCTTCAACTTATACGGGTACAGTTAAAAACCTCTCTCAAATTATTTTTATATTTATAGATGCATGTCCCGCAGTAGACTGACGGTTAAGCGGTTAAGACATGGTTCCCAACAGATCACCGAAGTCAAGCATCACTGACTGCGGTCAGTGAACGAGTGGGTGACCGCTTGGATCATTCTGCGTAGGGATCGAGGGTGTGCGGTATAGGTCCTCGTTAAATTATTCGACCGTTAAGTGCTCGACTTTGCGTGCAGGTCGCTGGGCTACAGAAGCGCGGGTGCCATCCCCTCTGCAGAGGATCAAAATTATTATGGCATGTTTTTGGATCATCCTCAAGGATGTTTCCCAGACCAACGCCAATAGCCCATTGTGCAGCTCTAGTGCGACGTAAGTGAACACAACGGAGTGGACTGAACGTTAAGGTAGATAGGTACGTTTTTTACGTAGTATTAGATCTGCACAATGGGCTATTGGCGACGGTCTGTGAAACATCCCTGAGGATGATCCGAAGATATCCATCGCAATTTTGATTTTATGCAGAGGATGGCTCCCCTGCTTTGTTAGCCCGACAACCTGCGCGCTAAGTCAAGCACTTTACCGTAGAACAGTTTTACGAGGACCGATACCCCCGCACTACGTAGACTGATCAAATGGGTCACCCACCCATTAACTGACCGCAGCCATTGATGCTTGACTGGGAAGAGTGTCTTTACGATCAGTCCACTGAAGGACCTCAGCGAACTGATCATTAAGAAGCAATTCCCCACTGAAGTCAAGCATCACTGGTGGAGATCAGTGTACGGGTGGATGACCCATTTGATCATTTTGCGGAGGGACCGAGAGTGTTCGGTATCGGGTCTCAAACTGTTCTAAAATGCATGACTTCGTGCGCAGGTAGTTGGTTTACCAAAGCAGGGGAGACATACCCCACAGCAGAGGATCAAAATCGTGATGGCATGTCTTCGGATCATCCGCAGAGATGTTTCCCAGACAGTCGCCAATAGCCCATTGTGCAGCTCTAGTGCGATGCAAATAAAGTACTGCTACTTTCAGACGCATATGATGGTGGCATGGGTCGTAACATTGGTAAGGAATGGGAGGCTATAAACTTGGTAAAATAGTTGTAGTAATACTTTATTAACGTCGCCCCAGAATTGCACCGTTGGCAATGGGTGACTATCTGAGTAACATCCTCGGGGATGTTTCCCAGATCACAATTATGATCCTCTGCAGGATGGATGTCTCTCCTGCCTTCGGTATCCCGATGATCTGCAAGCGAAGTCGAGCACTTTATGATAGAACGGATAAACGATACCACGCAGCCTTAGTAGTTTCTTCTCAGGCCGATCCACTGTTTCACTGACCGCTGCCAGTGAAGCTTGATTTCAGCGATTTACTGGGAATCGTTTCATACGATCAGTGCTCAGTGATGATCTACACCATTGTTTCTCAACGGGGGTGATACCGCCCCCCTGGGGGCGTTGGGAGTATGCTGAGGGGCGGTGAGCTTGGTTTGGGTGGTAGGGGGGCGTTGAACATGTTTTGTCATTCAAATTTAATTTTAAAACTTGCAAATAAAATTATTAAATTAAGATTAATTTAATAAAAAAAATTATAATAAAGAAAAAAAGATTAAATTAATATAATAAATAAAGATTATTCTATACACTANACACCTTTTGTACCACAAATAAAACGAACTTATACGACACCTATTCTCCGATCCGAGCCAACACAAAGCAGCGCATGAGTCAAAAGTTTTTGCCTCTGATTCATTCAAGCTATTTCGCGAATGGCTCTTACCTATTCATGCCATTTGGGGGAAATCAAAGTTAATGAGCTTTCGATATGAATATTTGATTTGACCTGTGCTTCTTATGATGATTTTCGTTACCTTCCTGATAGTTTTTTCCCCAGTTACGATTCGATCTCATTGTTTATTTGGCCAAGTATGTCCGCGAATTAGTTCTTTACCATAAATTATTTATTAATTTAGAGAAATAGTTTATTTTCTTCCATCATTTGCGTTTACTGCCACCAACAATGTCATTTAACAAAATGCCACGTACCAATGCCAAATGCCATGCCACGTTCTTGAAGTTTGGATTTGTTCAATCGCTGTCGAACTCTTAACTGCCCATGTGTTTACTCTGTAACAAAGTTTTATCTTATGAGAAAATGCAATCTTTCCATTAACAGGAGCATTTGCAAAAAGCTAATCCTAACAAACAAAATATAAATTTCAAATACAAGTTTCTGAAGGCACCTTCTGTCTCAGGGTTGATAGCAACCTCATCACAAAAATGCGACGATGGTTTGATAGCTTATAACAGTGCTAATTCTGAGAAAGCTCATACCATCGGCTCAGAGTTGATACTGTCGGTTGTCAAAAAAGTTTTAGAAACAGTTTTACACCATCCAATGTAATCAAAAATATCCCATTAAGCAACGATACAGTGCGGGGACGAAATGATGAGATGGCTGAAGACGTTGAAGTTTCTTTATGCAAACTTTTGATATCCAACGAATTTTCCCTTCAAGTTGGTGAATCAACGTTGCCATGCAATGTAGGTTTTACTGTAGGCGTAGGTACGGCTTGTAAAGATAGGAAAAAGTATTCGGGTAGGTAGTTCATTTACGTCGCACTAGAGCTGCACGATGGGCTATTGGCGACGGTCTGGGAAACATCCCTGAGGATGATCCGAAGACAAGCCATCACAATTTTGATCCTCTGCAGAGGGGATGGCACCCCCGCTTCGGTAGCCCAACGACCTGCAAGCGAAGTCGAGCA